GGGCGGGGGACGGGACCAGCCAATGGCAGAGTGGAGCGCCAGGCTCGAGCCTCCGGGATTGGAGGGCTGGGCAGGGGGCGGGGCGCAGGGGGCAAGGAAGCGGAGACCCAGACCCGTGGAGACGCAGGACCGGGAGAAACACTCAAAGACAGAAACCCAGACAGACTCAGGGAGAAAGAGAGATGAAGAGACGATAAGCGACGCGATAGAAGCTGAGCTGGCAAGATAATAGGGGAAGAAAGAAGGAAGAAAAGGCAGGCAGTCCTGTCGGAGTTGGGGAAGGAGAGCGGGAGGCGGCGGGGGCGGGACTGGGGCAGACTTAATGAGGTGTAAATCAATTCAGGACCGGCCCTGTGGCCCTACTGGCAGCGCCTACGAGGGAGATTGGGGCGGACTGGGGCCGGGCTGGGGGGTGGGGGTAGGGGGAACTACAGAATTGTACCCTTCAGCGCATTTGCCGTGCTGGTCACCGTTCCCTAAATCCCAGGTGCGAACTGCACAGAACGGCATCCTCGCCTGCAGCGGCTTCCTCTGGATAAGACGGATAAGATGAGGCCGGGACACTGGTGCCGCTGAGGGCTGCAGAAAGGGAAAGCTCACTCTACTCAGGGGAGTCCCAGCAGATGGGGGAGGAAAGAGGTGGCCTCTGATAAGGGCCCTAAGGGGTGCAGAGGATTCAGGTACTGGGAGACGGTGGGGAGAGCATTTAAGGCCAAGGGAACTGCATAAGCCAAATCATGGGGAACATGAAAATACAAGTCTGCCTGGGAAACAGCAGCAAACTGCTCCATTGGACCAGAGCAGAAGGCGCTGGGTCTCAACATTTTCATCACCAAGGACTTCTCTCATTATCTGAGTCCACGTTTTGAGAGGTTTTTATCCACCATCTCCTATCCCTGGCATTATTACAGAAGAAAATAACTATGTCCCCCATTTTTGTCCATTGTAGGCATATAACTACTAATCAATAAGCTGTATTACCGTATAGTGTTGATACAAAGTCAGGGTGGGAGGACGCAAAGAAACTTGACATTTTAGCTTAGTTTAACGTCTAAAAGTCAGAAGGTAGGTAAATGTGCATTTCAAAGAACGCTGACTTTAGGGGAGGTGGGGGGACTGGGCTACAAGTGAGACACCACAGGCATAGTGTTTGTGCTGGAGGGAAGACCTGGAGTAAATATAAGCTGTGCCTGTTCACGGTCAGCCTGGAGTTTCTGTAAGCCACGGAGAGCAACTGAAGGGTCCTAGGCAGGAGAGACAAACCATAGCAGAAGTTTAGGAAGATTCATCTGGAGGTGAGCAAGATGGTTTAAATCAAGGAAAAATAGTGAGCATGTGGATTAGATAGAAAGTAGTTGCAATGATGTAGGCATGGAGGTAAGAGCCCAAACCAGGGTGGTAACAGTGGAAATTAGAACAGAAAAAATGGGTCACAGAGAGTGCAGAAAAATCAAAAGAAAACAAACAAACAAAAAAAAAAAAACATTGGGACCAATGTGATATGAGGAGCCAAACAGAGGGGCTTCAGCGATCCCACTAGGGTCTCAAGTTTGGTGATGAGGAGGACTGAGAGGTCATTAATGGGACAGGGAAGCCGAGAGAAGGAGCCAGCCTGGTGAGGAGACTGAGGTGGGGGTACAGGGAGTGTTGAGTCCAGAGCTGGGAATATAGGCTGTGAAGTGTGGAGAGAGGTCAGAACTAGAGAGACAAGGAGGTAGTTGCTGCCAGGGTGGGTGAGCGGAAGCCCTGAGGGCAGAGGAACTCCCAACGAAGACTGTAAACAGAGGAGAGAAGAGAGCGAGCACACAGAGTGAGGGATGCCTGCACTTAGAGGATGAGGAAAGAGGAAAAAACTGAAAGAGACAGAGAATCTACCAAAAAGGCAGGAGAAAGACAGAGTGGGATGTCATAAGAGTCAAGGAACAGAGACCGTTAAGGAGAAGATTCTAGCAGTGTCAGAAGGTGCAGAGAGAGAGAGAAGAGGCATTGGATTTGGCAATGAGGAAGTCGCTAGTGACATTTGAGAGCAGCTTCTGAAGCCTGATCAAAGTGGGAACCAGATTAGAAGCGGTTACTGTTAGAGAGCGAAGAAATGTTAACATGTCTAGGTTACTCTTTTAGTAACTTTATTTAGAAAGGAGAGAACTACAACTCAGAACAATGTGCGTAAAAACTATCTCCAGCTTTTTTCTTCAAACTCCTAATACCCCCTCTTCCTAAGGCAATGAGGGTGAAGGGAAGGGTAAAATGCTCTGAGTAAGGCTGGTATGAGAGCTAAGATACTAGAAATGAGGTATCTAAGAGATCCCGAAGGTGGGGCCGCAGTCTTGTCATTCCGAGCTAGAGAAGGATTTGGAGTTTCTGGGGGAAACTCCAAAATAAACATGAGGACACCACAGATGAGAAACCAAAGGAACTGTAATGATTCATGCATTCATTCGCAAGAATTTAGAGTGCACTTTTTATTTCCCAGAAAATGTTATCCAAGCATTTGGTCTCAGCTACCACCCATGTGTCAATTTCTCCAGCCCACATGGATGTTCATTTCAAACTCAACAGGTAATCTTGCTCACAAAAGTGCTCCTCTTCATTTATTCTCTACCACAGTGAACACACCACCATCACTCAACCACAAACATGGTGGTCATCCTAGATTCTTCATTCTTCCTCATCTCCCTTATCTGATAAATACATCTCCTTTCTAAATAACCTAATACTGCTCCCTTCCTCCCTGTCCCATTGCCATTGCTGTGGTCTAGGACACCATCTGCTCCCACCAGGATTATTGCAGCTGCTTCCTAACTACTCTTCCTACCTCCAGTCTTTCTCCACTCTAATAATCCTTCAGATCACGAATTCCTTCATTTTAAAATAATTGAACACCCATAACGTACCATCTCTCTGAAACACAAATCTGTGTCACTTCCTGGTTTAAAAGTCTTCAGTGGCTGCCCATTGTCTCTAAGTCAAGTCCAATTCCTTACCACGGAACAGAAGACTGGTCATGACCTGGACCTGATGCCAGTTCAGTTTCATCTCCTTCCACTGCCCTTACACAATCAAACCTCCAGCCACTTCCTCCTCTACTGCCCAAGGTTCAGTCTCGTTCTGTGTCTTGTCCCTTGAGCCTTCATCACTTCCATAGCTCCAACTGTCACCTCTGAGTGATGCCCAAATCTCTAGCTTTAGGCCTAGACTCTTTTTGGAGTTCCACTTCCACAGTTCCAGTTGCCTGTAGGGAATTTCCGCTCTAACTTAACAGGCCCAACCTGAATTCATTATCTTCCTCCCCAAGACTGGGAGTCCTCTTGACTTCCTTATTTCTGTAAGTGTTCTCCTGGTCTATTGCACTAAAAAATTAAAAGTTGTCTTTACTTTTCACCCTTCCACTAATTGGTATGTCAGTTAAGCCACCAAATTCTATCAGCTCTCCCTTTGTTACTTCTCTCTGTTGTTAGCTGCCATTGAGTAGGCCCTCAAATCATAGGAACCCCTTGCATGACAGAACAAAACACTGCCTGGTCCCACACTATCCCTGTGATCAGCTGCGAATCAGACTATTGTGATCCATAGAGTTTTCACTGGTTGATTTTCAGAAGTAGATCACCAGGCCTTTCTTTCTAGTCTATCTGAGTCTGGAAGCTCTGCTGAAACCTGTTCACCATCATAGCAACACACAAGCCTCCAATGAGAGATGGTTGTGCAGGAGGGGCTTTGGCCAGGAATCAAACCCAGATCACCCTGATGGGAGGTGAGAATTCTACCACTGAACCAATATTCAAAAACCCAAACTCGTTGCCGTTGAGTCAGTTCTGACCCATAGCGATCCTATACTGCCCCCATATTATATCCTTGGAGCCCTGGTGGTGTAGTGGTTAACAGCTACAGCTGCTAACCAAAAGGTCAGCAGTTCAAATCCACCAGGCACTCCTTGGAAACTCTATGGGGCAGTTCTACTTTGTCCTATAGGGTCGCTATGAGTCGGAATCGACTTGACAGCAATGGGTTTGGTTTTTGGTTTAGGATGTCCTTTTCATACTCCAGCCCAGGACCTTGCACTCACCCTTCACCTTCTCTGCAGCACCCCAAACAGACGCCCCTTGCTTACTGGTCCAGTTTAAACTCCTTAACTTGACACTAAGGGTACCCCTCTGAAAGGGGAGGGGAAAAAGAATCAAAGGGCGGGAGCAGAAACAGACACCTTGAGGTGAAGGAGAAAGTCTGTGGAGAAGTTTCTGCCAAATGAGTCTCACCCTTTCTGTAGAGAAGAAGTGTTCATCTACCCTAAACCAGGCTGGGGTGGGACTGGGCAGTTAGAAAGAATTTCAAAAGTTCTGGAATGGCACAGGTGCGGAATTGTGGACAAGTACACAGACAGCTTCAACAGCATCGTATTATTCTAGTTTAAAAAAAAAAAAAAAACCAAACCCATTGCCATAGAGTCGATTCTGACTCACAGTGACCCTATAGGACCGGGTAGAACTGCCCCATAGGGTTCCAAAGAGTGGCTGGTGGATTCGAACCGCCAAGCTTTTGGTCAGCAGCCGAGCTCTTAACCACTGTGCCACCAGGGCTCCTCTTGTTTTAAAAGAGTAATTTACATTGAGTTTTTGTTTTCAAATCATGCTTTGTAACCTATACAAATATACTTATCATGTATATTCCTTTGTAATACCAAATGTCACTTTTATACTTTTAAAAATGTTTTACACAAAGGAAGTCCTAAAACGGTCAGTAGGAGCTCAAAAGGGAATCAGTGATAAGGGGCACAGGGAACTAAGAGTTGTGAGTGTTTACTATGCAAGGTAGCTACATTACCTGAGGTGGAGACGCAGAGGTTCAGAGAGGTTAAGAATGGTTTGCCTATGGTAACATAGCTAGAAAG